GAGTAGCTGGGATTACAGGCACGCGCCACCATGCCTAGCTCATTTTTTGTATTTTTAGTAGAGACGGGGTTTCACCATGTTGACCAGGATGGTCTCGAGCTGTTGACCAGGATGGTCTCGATCTCTTGACCTCGTGATCCACCCGCCTCGGCCTCCCAAAGTGCTGGGATTACAGGCTTGAGCCACCGCGCCCGGCACTAACTTTAATTCTTTAAAAGCTTACGTTTTTTCTTTAGTTGACATTCCCAAATTGTTATTGTGACCTTTCTCCAAAATGATATTTTCTGGCCTTGGGGCTAGCAGGGCCATGTTCGGCCACAGTATCTGGGTAGGAAGTTTCCACACCCATGGCAGCTGTCCAGACTTCTGACTCCCAGTGGGGAAACACATGCTCTGAATAGGAGTGTGAAGGCATCACACCCTCCAGGGAAGGTGGTCACAGGGCCAAGGAGATAGGTAAGGTAGCTACTGAAGCCCATGAGATTTTTCTGACAGTTGGGAAAATAGGGGCCCTGGGAGATTGGGATTTCATTCACCCTGGCTCTCTTGAATATTTTATGTAGTGTTGTCACCAACCTTGTATTTTATAAGCCTCCACTCCCAGGGAGGGCAGCAATTCTTGCTATTTACCAGGCCCAACTATCAATGGTAAAAGAAATCTGTCCTCTCAAAAGCAGTTCAAAATGTTTCCTATCTAAACTGGATTAGCAAAACCCAGAAGGCCATCTGGACTCAGGATTAGAGATGAGAATGGGCCAGGTGTATCTAAGAACAGGCGATATGGCCGGGCGAGGTGGCTCACGCCTGTAATTCAAGTACTTTGGGAAGCAGAGGCAGGCAGATCACAAGGTCAGGAGTTCGAGACCAGCCTGGCCAACATGATGAAACCCCATCTCTACTAAGAATACAAAAAATTAGCTGGGCGTGGCAGTGGGCACCTGTAATCCCATGCTGACTATCAGCTTGGGAAGATATGTGTCCTTCACCCTTACCCTGCAGCATTTACTGAGAGCCACACATACTGCCCCTAACAGTTGCTGAGCCATTTGATACCTGAGCATGAACCAGTCAGAGATAATGTGAACCAGCTCTTCTAACTCGGTGTGTGTGTAGACAAGTTCCTCACCTTTGCTGGCCTCGGTTTTCTCCTATGTGAAATGTGGATGCCAGTCTCCTTCCTGCAGGGGTTGTGGTGGTGCTCTAGAAAACATAACTTCCTCTCCCTGCCTGCCCCTTCTCCAGCAAGTTCAGAAGCTGTAGAGGATTTGCCGAAGAACAGTCATTTCCTGTTTTTTGAGACAGCATCTGTTGCCCAGGCTGGAGTGCAGTGGTGTGATCATGGCTCACTGCAGCCTCAACATCCCTGGGCTCAGATGATCCTCCCACCTCACACATGCACCACCACACCAGGCTATTTTATTTATTTATTTATTGTAGAGGTGGGGTTTCACCATGTTGCCCAGGCTGATCTCGAACTCCTGGTCTCAAGGGATCTACTTGCTTCGGCCTCCCAAAGTGCTGGGATTCCAGGCATGAGACACTGCGCCCAGCCAGTCATTTCCTGTTTTAAAGGGGGATAAATGGCATGCTCAGGAGCTTCCAGGGTGTCAGCTGGAGGCAGCCTTGGGCTGTTGATGGAGATGTTCTTGAGGAGGGGAAGGTTCAAGGAAGTTGCAGGGCGAGCAAACCTTGGGAATGGCTCCCCTCCTAATGAGTCCAGAGGCCTAAGGAGGGGTTGTGGGGGTGGGTATAGGGACTTGGATCTGAAGCAGGAATAACAAGAGGGCTAAAGCTCCTTCTGCAGCTGCCTCCATTACCGTCAACACTGTCCTTAGCACCTAGAGGGCAGTGGCACTCACACACTCCCCAGGTGAGCAGGTGAAAATCAGACTCAGTCCCCTGAGCACCATTGCTACATGCAAAATCTTCACCTGTCCCAGCTGCCTGACCTTGCCAGGCAAGCTCAAATGCCACTCCTAGAAATTCCCAAACATCTTCAGCTCTCTTAGGGATCACTGATGATAAGGATCATGGATCCATTAGGGCTAAGGCAAATAATAGCAATAATAATATGGACATATATTGGCTCTTACAACGTGCCAGTTCTAAGCATTAGACAGGTATTGAATCATTTAATCCTCACATCCACCCACCCTGTAAGTTGGTTACTATTATTTACCTCATTTTACATACAAGGAAACCAGACATACATTTAGTAATGAACCCAATGTCATACCACTAGCAAGTTAAATTCATTGACGTGAGAACAAACAGGAAATTAAACATAGCCAGAGGATGAAGACTGACAGGAACAGAGGTTACCCATAGCTCTTATTCTCCTCATTCCATTTCTGCTCTTTCTCTGCCTGCTTTGTTCTTCTGCTTGTACCCAGCTCAACACAGTCACCACAAACTGCAGTCTACCGGGTTTTCCACTATCTCCTAACTTGTTCCTAATTCATGGAATAGGGAATCTTACTGGAGAATCAGCTCCATCTGGTGCTGGTCTGGTATATGTCTAGCAGTTGACCTGGGGGAAAAAGAAAGCCCTGATTTATAGTATTTGCCAATCAATATTCATGGTGTAAATCCCACCATGGCTGATTTCAAGCTACCAATACTCACTGAATGCAGAGCTTGGAAGAAGTGTGCACAACTTGCACATGTGAATCAGGACAGCCATTACACACCACTGGCTGCACCTACACACTGAGTCACTGAGTCAGGTGTCCACCCCTGGCCAATCAGCTGTGGCTGCAATGGGGTCATGTGACACAAATATGGCTGCCACAGCCCATCACTTCATGGCAAAACAGGCTATGGGAGGTCAATTTCAGAGAAAGAGATGAGGCCCCTGAGATTACTGAAAACATGCTGGTTCTTGGCTACACCACATCCATTTCCCCTTCTGATGGTACCACACTCTGGTTTCCTATTAGGGAACCTCTTGTACTTCAGAAGGTGAAGGTGGGTGCTTCAACCTCTGCTCCAGGATTGGAGCACGGGCCCTAGTCCCAAGCCAAACAAGCACATAACATGATCCAGTTAGAACCAGGAAGACCCAGTTAGACTTTTACTGGGTGCTCTGGTTTGAATATGTACTCCCACAAAAATGTGTTGCAAACAACCCCAGTGCAATAGTGTTGGGAGTTGGAGCCTAGTGGGAGGTGTTAGGTCCTGGGGGCTCCGCCCTCATGAATGGATTAATGCTGATTATAAAAAGCCACAAGGGCTGGGTGCAGTGGCGCACACCTGTAATCCCAGTACTTTGGGAGGCTGAGGCAGGTGGATCACCTGAGGTCAGGAGTTTGAGACCAGCCTGGCCAACATGGAGAAACCCTGTCTCTACTAAAAATACAAAATTAGCTGGGTGTGGTGGTACATGCCTGTAATCCCAGCTACTCGGGAGGCTGAGGCAGGAGAATCACTTGAACATGGGAGGCAGAGGTTTCGGTGAGCCAAGGTCGCGCCATTACACTCCAGCCTGGGCAACAAGATCGAA